GTCGACTACGTGGGAGTCCAGCGACATAGCCATTATGCTAACTGCTGGTCCCCAAAGTAAATAAATTTATAAGAAATAGAAAATGTATGTATAGCATACATTCAGAAAAGTGCATAAAAGATAAAGGACATTCTGAATTTTCACAGAATAGTCAGCGCCCAGATTAAGACAACAAAATGTCCAATACCCAGAGAAGTTCCTTTGTGCTCTCTTCTGGTTAATCCTTACCCCTGATCCATTTTTCAAAGCTCTAAAGTAAACAAACATGTAATGCTTTGCATAATGGAAATATAGGGCCAGCAGGTGGCATGGTGGACAAGGGGTTGGATCTCCTGTGATGGACCCGGCAGTTTGAGTCCTGGATCTGGTGACCTGAAAAACATACAGGACGGGTCCAGCTGTTGGCGTAATGGCTATGTTGCTGGACTCCCATGTAGTCGACCGCGGACCGCGGTTCGAGTCTCAGGCCCAGTGACTTAAATTCACGCTGGGCGCATGTGCATGCATGCCCAAGACCCCGAGAGGAGAATGGAGGCGAAGGGATTGCGGAGTGGCCATCCCCCCTGGGGGGTGATTTCTCGCTTTCTGTCTCTCTGTCTTTGTCTGTCTGGCGAGCGCACGCGCCCTATAGCGAAAATCTCTCCAAAAAAAAAAAACCCACATAGGACGCTTTTGTGTTCATGACCAACATCCCAAGAGGAGCGATTATGGCATAGCTACCACCCCTGGGGGAGTGATCTCTCACTTTAATACTCTCTGTCTCTGGTGAGCCAGAGAGCATGGTGGTTCCTGCTATAGGATTGCTTCGTCCAGTCCATCTCTTCCTCTGTCTGGTGAGTGAGTGCACATGCCCTGTGGCAAAAAAATCTTCAAGATAAAAAGAGGACCAGCAGATGGTATAATGGATATATGGCTGGACTTCTACACAGCTGAGCATGGTCTGAGTACCGGACCCGGTGGTTTGGAAAAACTCACGCCAGGTGTGCGTGCGTGCCCAAGATCCCAGGAGGAGAATGGAGGAGAAGGGATTGTGCTGTGGACATCCCCCTTGAGGGGTGATTTTTTACCTTCCCTCTCACCATCTCTGTCTCTCTCCCCAGGGAGTGCACATGCCCAAAGGTAAAAACCTCTAAAAATAAAAGAAAAATGGAAATACAGAAATATAGAGGATCTTTTTTGTGTCTAGTTTCTCACTCACCGTTATTTTGTGAGATTTATCCACATCACATGTGTTTATAGCTCATTCTCGTTTGCAATTTAATATTTCATTCTTTTAATACTTAACGGTTTACTCATTGGTGCTACACTTGATGGCCATCTCTTCTGGCTTCAATTTTTGCTAATTTGATATGATAGCAAAAATCTGACTTCCTTACTTTAATTTTTATTTCTTTAATATGGTGGTGATGCATTCTCAAATGAATAGTAAATAAATCATTTGTATTTTTATTTATTTTTGAGTCATTTTTATTTTTCAAATAATTGTCTATTTACATATTTCTGGACATTTTTCTATTGGGAATTCTTAGTTTTTTTAGATAATTTGCTATGGGATGCCAATGCTTACTGGACAGAGACACAGACAGAGACAGAGACAGAGATGGCAAGTGAGACAGCATCTGTTAGGGAGGATGGCCACACCACAATCCCTTCTCTTTCATTCTCTTCTCAGAATTTTGGACACAAGTGTGTGTGCGACCTACAGCAAAAATTTAAAATAAATAGGCAGTGAAAAGGAAGATGATACAACAGGCCCAAGAAGAAAATGGGTAATTTTGATTGTTTTTACATTTTTTTTGTATTTTGTTTTTTTCTTTTTTTTGGCCATAAGGCACATGCACGCACAATAGAAAAAGACAGAGAGAGGTAAAGTGAGAAATCACGCCCCCGGGGGGTGGGGTAGCTGCAATTCTTTCTCCTCCAGCCTCATCTCAGGATTTTGAACATGCACACACATGCACACACATGCACGCACCCAGGGTGATTTGTTGTTGGAGAGGTTTTTGCTATAGGGCACGTGTGCTCGCCAGAAAGACAGAGAGAGAGACAGAGAGCCAGAAAGCGAGAAATCCCCCCCTAGCGGGGATGGCCATGCCACAATCCCTTCTCCTCCATCCTCCTCTCGGGATCTTGGGCACACATGTACACGTGCCCAGCATGAGTTTAAGCCACTGGGTCCGGGACTCAAACTGTGGTTGACTACATGGGAGTCCAGTGACATAGCCATTATGCCAACTGCTGGCCCCTAGCATAAATGTTTTTTAAGAGACCAGCCCCCTAGCCTGGTGGTTAAGGGAGCTGATCTCACATGGCTGACCATCATTCAAATCCCAGCCCTGGAGCCCTGAAGAACATGCTGGGTGCATGTGCACACATGTCCAAATCCTGGTGGGACAGAGAAATGGAGGCGAAGGGATGGCAGTGTGACCATTTCCTTCGCAGTTTCTCTCTCTCTCTTGCTGCTTTCTCCAGTGAGCACACCTGCCTTCTGGCAACCAAAAACAAACAAAGAACGAAAAACACCCAGGTATTTCGCACAGCTTAATGTATGAACACACCTGTGATTTCCGCTGATGATAATGTCACAGACCCTGATAACATGACGAGGGTTGGTTATCCAGGTGCATCATGGGAAGAGACAATACATTTCATCGAGAGTTAGTGAAAGTACAGGTGCAGTTATTCTTTCCACCCATATTTACGGACGTTCTGCACTCCATCCAGGACCCCTTGTAGACCTGTGAATATGAAGGTGAGAATCGGGTCTCGACTGAGAACCTCCCAGATGGTAGGGCTGGAGTGATCGTACCTGCCCTGTGTGTTCTGCGTGGACACTTGACATTCATATCATACGGGTGCATACGAGGTAGCATGTATTACGGTGACTCTCACGTCTCTGTCCCCATCCAGGCTTCTTTCTGTATCCGAAGAAACGTCCCCATGCTTCCTCTTGTCTACAGAAGGTCCTCTACTTTAACCTGTCTGCCATCAAAGAACAGGGACAGGTAACGATGGCCCGGCTGAGCCTGGACTTGGGGCCCAGTTCTTACAGCCACCTGGGACCAGAACTGGAATTGGCTCTGTCCCTGGTTCAGGAGCCTCGTGGATGGGGCCGCTCCACGCCCAGGCCAGGGAAGGTGCTTGCCCTGCAGTCAGTCCCGTGGCCACAAGGGGTCCTGAACTTCAACCTGCTGGAGGTGGCTGCGGACTGGACTCGCAACCCCCAGAAGAACTCGGGTTTGTTCCTGGAGATACTGGTCAAAGAAGACAGAGACTCTCGGGAGTCTTCTCAGCTTGAGGACCCCTGTGCCAGACTGAGACGGTCCCTGCACGCGTCCCTGCTGCTGGTGACCCTCGACCCCGAGCAGTGCCGCCCTTCCTGGAAAAGGAGGGCAGCCGTCCCTGCTCCCCAGGCATCTTGCAAGCACCTCTGTCACCGCCACCAGCTGTTCATCAACTTCCGGGACCGGGGTTGGCACAAGTGGATCATCGACCCCAAGGGCTTCATGGCCAACTACTGCCACGGGGACTGCCCGTTCTCCCTGACCACCTCTCTCAACAGCTCCAACTACGCTTTCCTGCAGGCGCTGATGCACGCGGCCGACCCAGACGTGCCCCAGGCTGTCTGCATCCCCACCAGGCTGTCCCCCATCTCCATGCTCTACCAGGACAACGATGACAACGTCATCCTCCGGCACTATGAGGACATGGTGGTTGATGAATGTGGGTGTGGGTAGGGTGTCAGAAACAGAGAGGAGGCGTGTGCTTAGGGTCAGTCTCCTAATAAAAGAACCTGTGCCGGCTGGATGCGTGAAATATCACTGTGTCTGTGCTTCCGGTTCGTCTTCTTGGGAAATCCATGCAGATTAGTGACGCCCGTAACTACACGCACACGCTCACTCGAGCCCCAGTGATCTTCACATCTGCTCTGACACACTCACGTGTGTGACAGTCAGGCTCTACGTAGATGCGGCGTCACTGAGAGCCTGGCAGGGCAGGCGCTGTCTGTGCTGTTTGCAAACGTCATCTCGCTGTTCTGGGAGCTAAGTTTTGTTATTTACACTTTATGGATGAACAACCTGAGGTTAGAGACGCTAAATGACACATTTTCCTAAGGTTATTGGCATTTCCTGGCAGATCTCATAAAAATAAAATAATTTTGAGAAAATATAAATAATGGGGACCAGCAGTTAGCGTGATGGCTATATTGCTGGACTCCCATGTAGTCGACCACAGTTCGAGTCCCAGACCCAGTGGAGAGGTTTTTGCTATAGGCGCATGCGCTCGCTAGAAAGACAGAGAGACAGACAGAAAGTGAGAAATCACTCCCCAGGGGGGATGGCCACGCC